GGTTGAACTGTAAAGTGCACTGAGATGACATGAGTTGTGAATTGGCGCTTTTTAAATCAACTGAATTGAATTGAAAACAATTGGAGTTCCCATTTTGTGTTAGCAAATTATAAAAAAGCAGTCTGTGTGCATCCACTAGATTAGAGTAAGTAGACCCTACCTTAACCCAGATATTTCTTAAAAAGCCAAGTTGCTACGAGACGCAGCAAATCTTGGCAAATCTCTGTGTCTGCTAAGCTCTCACCCCCTTTTTAAAGATAGGAGGCAAAGAAAACTACTTTTCTGCATCTCATCTCCTTCTCTTTATGTCCCTCTTCCAGAGAATGTACCAATGAATAAATGCCACCAAAGTCACAAGATATAATGATGATAAATATCTAACAGTTATAGTATTAGTAGATCTAGGCCATTTTTGTTCACTGAGATGGTTCACATCAGTGTTTGCAGATAGATTTATAAAACCTGCTTGTGACTCGGTTTATAAACAGTGTCAGCTCTTCTGATATCACTAGATGGTGCTTATAGTTCTCTGGAACCACTCGAGTGGAAAAGCCTAAAGAGAGATCAGAATGTACATACCCTGGTCTCTTAGGATGCTGTTCATATTTGAAGTGGGAAATGCATGATTCATTTTTCAAACTAAAGGGTTTTTCTGACTGGGTGTCAAACTTTTTTTTTTTCCTCCTGACCTAGATTTGCTCCTGTTCAGTGGGATACTTCCCCTTTTTTAATCTGCGAGCTAGTAGCCCACATAAATACAACAAATCTTTTGTAATCTTCATTTGAATATAGGATTTTGATTACTCAGACTGAGTTAGTATTACACAGGAATATTATCAGTGGGTTTTTCTTTCTTCTTCCACACAGAGTACAGTGACATATGGGGGGGGGTTCAAATTCACTGTCAAGCATAGTTTCTTCCATGATAAAGTAAAGAAACTCACTCAGTCTGTGTCTGGTAACCACATCTGAATCAGCTTCCTGTGTCAGATGGAATCTCCATGCACTCGTTGCACCCTTTATAACACATATGTTTTCTGCTTCCTATGTGGGTTCATTTAGTTGGTTTTAGCTCATCTTTCTCACTCAGTTTCTGTCAGGTAAATTCCAAGTAGCACCTTTTTGTTCTGGTTTCACCTTAAGAGCTGTAATAGAAGTCGTTTAAGCGAGCGGAGAGAATTAAGACTGTGAACAGAATGAGCGCAGCTCTCAAGCAGCTGTCACTGAATATGAATCAAAACACCTACTGGTGTGCCTGTTCCTCTTTCAGTGGAACAGGGAAAGCCCAGGCGGTCATTTAATAACGTTGAGCCTTTTTTTGCTCTTTGCTGATTCATCACAGACCACAGAGAAGGGAGATGAAATGCAAATTACACCGAAATGTCAAGAGACCTACATGAATCCTACCATCGCCCCACGTGGCCTAACTTGAGCTTCATATGGAGACTGTTTCTTGCTTGTATGACGGAATTCAACAAGGCTGCACGGATAAAAAGTACTTTATTTCAGGTGTTTAGTAAGTTAAGGAGTAAGGAGTTCCAGTTATTTAGTAGTTCTGCAGACACATTTTGGCCAAACTTGATAGCAGAACTATCCAAACCCTGTCTAAATGACTCATAAGTCGCTGGGCTCCATCAGCCAACCGTTTTGTATTTTTAAGAAATGAAATGTATTTTAGAAACATCCTTTGAGCTTTCCTCAGTCTAATTCCAGCTGTTCTCTGAGGGCTTCAGAAATTTCATCAAGCAAACTGCATCAGGAAGACCTGGAAACACAGCAATTATACCAGAGTTAGAGCCATAAAGATGTTTAAAACAGGAGTGTGTTAAAAAAAGGACTATCACTGAATCGAACATCATCCCGCCACAACTGTCATCCTACAAAGACATCGCAATCCACCTAAACCGAAAGCAGTACTTAGAGAGGCAACTCAAAGGACCATAGGAGCCCTGCAGTGGTAAAGATCCACAGCTCATGTGGAAGAACGTTATAAAAGGACAGCTCTTATAAATCTAATAAAGGCCAATGAAAAGAAACACCAACCCACCCTCTACAACCCTACATCCAGTCCCCACAGTGAAACATGATTATTGTGCCTTTGTGTTCTGTGGATGCAAACAGGATTATTCTGTCATTGACAGTAAAAGACTTTAAATTCTGAGGCAGAAGTT